GGCTGTCAATGCAAATTGTCTTACAAGCTTATTACGCAGTCCATTAGACAAAAATCATTCTAAGGCTCATTATTGACGTGCCAATTTTGAAGGTACTTTTATGTATACATTCAATATATACATAGTAAAGGATTTAGTGTTAATGATACGATAGAGCATGTGGCAGTGGCCCCATAATATGAATGTGGATAGAGTAAATGACTAACTGTATCACTTCTAAACTTTTCGTGTTCTCCGAGCATACTACACCATTCGTTCTGGGTGCATACAGACGCATCCTGGGAAAGTATGTTGAAGTGAATTACTCGCTCATTCAAGGTTCGGCTTCAGAGATTCGGTCGGTGCCGGGAACCGCGCAAGGACATGATGTGGCAATTTAAGCGCGAGATACATATACCTATGTTTAGATATATATGTTCAGGTGCACATTTGTCGCTGACCTATTTTAAACGAATAAATAGATAAATTAGGCGGATAAACAAGATGTGTGTATGGGACTGGTAGACCTGCTCGTAGGTTTCTGGATAAGATTCAAAATGTACTAAAAATAGGGCTCATCAAAAGCACCTATAACCGACGATGTATGGTGAGTATTATGAGAGTGGAGGATGTAAGGAGATATTATGTAAGGACCGTAACACCGTGGTCTATGGTCTCTGCCTGCCCGTTTGACGTGAAAAAAAACCCGTTCGGAAATACGAATTATGTGTTGGATTACTGATTAATAGCGGGTTTTATGTGCGTTAATTTTTATCTTGCGGTAACAATTAAGTTCATTGTGTATAATATATAGCCTAAATGACTAGTATATACATATAATGCTTAAGGTTAATTGTCTTTGGATAAAGATTACCTCTTTTATTTATAAACGTACTAAATGGCTCTAATGGTTTTTGTATCTGTAGTCCTTACCACTTTTGCGTCACTTTAAAGTGCATAGGCGATATATATATTTAGTGTATATATGTATAGTATAAGACCGTATTCTCAGTCTTAAATTGAGCGGTCCTAAAGCAATACTTACATTTGTAGAAATCGTACCTTGTAACGGCTTAGTACCTAAATACGTATAGATGTTCATATTTGTCAAGGTATGGCGAGGTCATGGATGACAAGTGTACAATATATAATATTTGACATAAGTAACAATAGAAGGTTTCGTATTGTCATTTATATAATATACATGTATACTCTCAGTATTATGTAATCACTCGTAAAAGTAAATAAACAATAATATTTTTTAAGCAGTTACCCTTCATATACGAATTTTAAAATAAAATAGCAGTATTTTTAAAGCTTCGCACCATAATATTTCGCCTTTATTCTTTTCCCTCGTCATCTTTTTAATATCTCTTATAAACTCCTATTGTCTATTTCCTATCTTTCTTTACTTTATTCTATAATTGTTGTAGTTGCCAAATTTATATTTATGATTAATGTTTGTTACTTCTTCATTTTGCAGAACCTCTAAGGTCACTATTGCCAGGGAAATACAATAAATAAATTTAATAAAAAAACTAAATTCAATTATGCCTAAGTTACGTGCACCTCATTAAAGAAACACTTAAATTCTTAAAATCGAACCATTGTAAATAAATAAATATGACAAAACCTTTCTTAAATCATTTACTATTTATAAGACCGTTAATTTTTCTAAAACGTTCACAGCACAGTAGTTTTTAGTTCGAATTTCAAATATCTAGTAATATATTCGCAAAGCTCATTACTGGTTATACAGTGTTTATCGTAGGCGTCTTTAACTGATCTAAAGTTTGCAACTTGCAACTTTCATTACGTCACTTTATTTAACTCTAAAGAGTTCTATTTCTGTTCTAATTACTGTAATTAAAAATAGTTGCCACAACTCTGTAGTCTATGGACAGTTCTTAATTTAAAATTTGTTTGTAATCGCATGCATCCAAATAAGCATAATTCAAAATATTGATAGATCATTTTCGTTATTGTTATGTAACAAGCTTTCTGTACCTAACACGAAACATTATTCAAGTTAGGTATACTGTGTTTATACATTGCTAGAACATTACAATAAGGCGATTAATTTTATAGTTTTTAACTAAATAGCAATTACTGTTTCTACTTGTTACTGTGTTAAATTACTACATTAAAATGTTAAGACGTAGCTATTAATTATTCTAGAATACGGCTATTAATTGGGTATGGAGCCGTCGGTCATATTCCAGACACTTCAAAAGCTTATTGTCAGCCATATGTTCTTATATCATACTATCAACAGATACAACAACACTTCGTCTGTCGAAGACCAGAAAAGATCGTGCGGCCGCGTGCTATTAGAACTGCAAAGGCTGTTAATGCTGTTAAAGCCAGAATTCGTCGAAATTCCATAAGAAAGCAATAAATCTTATCGCGAGAAATGAAGATTCCCGCTAGGACGCTTTCGCGTTTTATAAAACAAGACCTGAAGCTCGGTGCTTATCGTCGATATACAGGACATGTCCTAAATCAATCTTTACAATTAAAGAGACTGTACCGATCAAGATGCCTTCTGTCGCGATACGCAGGTGAAAATCTCAGAAATCCTTGTTACCGATGAAAAAACTTTCACGATCGAAGAACACTATAAGCAAAAAGTGTACGCTCACAGTTCTAAAGAAGCTGCTCAAGTGGTCGGAAAGGTACAACGTGGTCATCATCCTGCGTCAGGGTTGATTTGGTGGGGCGTATCTTATCAAGGAGTCACAAAACTTCATTTTTGTGAAAAAGGAGTGAAAACTTCAGCCGAAGTGTATCAAGATACAGTCTTGGATAATGTTGTGAAACCTCCCAGCATGTATCCATGGTCTCTAAGTTTGAAGACCATAGTGCACGTTTGTAAGTGCCTCGGTCTGGCAGCCAAGTACACGGAGTTAAATCATTTTAAAATTTATAATTATTTGAGATAAATTTCTCTAAGTAAACAGATTCGTGGAAGATTTGGGCTATGGCTCATAGACAATATTTTTATTGTAGAACGAAGTAATTTAAATTACCAAAAAGTCTTCGGTAAAATTAATGATAAAGGCTTAAACAACTTGAATAGTAATAGAAATAAGTTATCTTTGTAAAACCTTTGAGTAGTCATGCTGAAGTTGTGATCATGACTTCGATACTAAATATGTCTAGATTACTCACAGACCTAACTTTAAAGTTAGACACCACAGCATAAATTTGCTGGAACCAAGTTTAGTTTCAAAGTCAGAAGCACCGTAGATTAATGGATGAGTTTAAGCCAGTTAATTTGGGGTTGAAACACAGATTAAAAATTGATCAAAGTTGGTAACGTTCCACGACTTACAATATGTCTTTACGAAAAGATGCTATTTGGTACGTATATTAACAATCTGTTTGTGTTCATTTATTGATTCTATTTACTTTCAGACAAGACATTTAAAGACACTTCTCTAACTATAGTTATTTTTATATATCCTGTATTTGTTGTGTTATTATATTCCTTCTTGAATAAATATAATTAATAATGATACATATAGGAAGAACAATATGTTCGCTTTCAAGTTATTGTCAAACTAATTAAATTCGAGCAGCGCTTCGTTGACGTATTTGGAACTAGCAGGAACATACATCATAATTTACGCAATCAGTACTACTTCAAACAAAAATTCTACCGTTGCTGAAACGTCATTTAACATATAACAATAACAATACCGTACCAGCTCTAGTTATTGGTGGTGTCAAAACTTTTCATATGATGGGTGGATACAGATACATTTTAATAAGCGCTCTCGCCGATCGGCCACAGTAACCTATAGGTAACCTATCTTACAACCTAACGTGCTTATGATGACTAGTCTAAGTCTAGCTAGACTACTTCAATACCTTTTGTCTTTGCAAGTTAATCTCGGATATAATCGAATATCGTATACAAATCATCTTTTAAAGTACTATTTAATATTTACCACAAAATAGCAAAAGTTAAAACGAACCGTACACGAATTTCCGATCTTGTCAATTTAACGACTTCCCTAAAAGTTAATTTACTTTCGCCTCCCCAGCCTAATAAAATTTCTTGCAAAAGCTCAAAATCTTGATAACTTAGTTGTGTAGGTGTGGAATACAAACAAAATATTATTCCAAAGCATTTATTTATGAAAATATTAAAAGTTTTCAGTGTTGGTAATTATACCAAGAATATAACAATATAGAATATACAGTTTCTTTAATTATAAATTAACATAAACATTTAATCAGCTAATCTCTTAATGTCTACTTCTAATGCGGATAAAAATCTATGCGGAAAGAAAACCGTAGCGGTTATGCGAAATAATATTACGTAGCAAAGCAATTTACAAATTCCCGAAAATGATTTTTTATTTTTCTCATATTTTCATGTCAAACTTTAGTTTGACAAGTATATATATATATATAGTAAGACAAGTATACTCTGATAATAATATATAAACATTCTGTAATTGTAAATTAAATTTATCTGCTGTTGGACATAACAAAATTTATATTAAGCACCGCACACGACGGTCCTCTTTCCGCGCAGATTTTAAAGAAAAATATTGTATGTAGGTTATTTAAATGATAAAGTTGTTGTGACAGAAGTTACTCTTAAAAATTTCTCACAATTGAGTTTGGTTTAAATATTAAGTTCAATATAAAATAATTCATCGAAATAGTTTCGTTTCGTTATAATTTACATCTTTGTGGACGGATATTAATTACTTAATTTAAAGAAAAAACTAAAATTATGGCACATTCCGCCATGATAAATACATATTTATATAGATGTTTAAAAATCGTTTTGATTTTTTTTTAAATATTAATGTCAGTTAGCAATACACGGGTCACCTCACCAACTAAGGATAATCTTTTATATTTTAATTTCGTTACATGATGTTATATGTATGGCTAAAACGCAATCGATTGTAAATATATATACATTTTGATGATTATATAGTCAGTGCAAGGTACTAAATACTAAATTTGATCCATACAATTTTATCATATTAAAAAATAAATCACTCAAAATTAACCCAGAATGTCTTAGGCACGCCGGGCTGTCGCAAAGTTTCCGTCCAACTCTCCGAGTAAGCAGATTTATCGTCTATTGTTGCTTTTCCTAGAATTTCCTTCTTGGCCATTTTGGTTTTGCACCCGAGACTTATATAAATGCTAACTTTATTTAAATTAACTTTGAATACCGATAATTTGACGGTAGCCGATTTAGGATCCCACCTAGCCGATATTGTTGGAACAAATCTGTCGCTTTTCCAGTAGCATTCCGCTTTATTCGCCTCCAAAATTGTTGCTTTTAGATACAGCGGTGCTGAAAAAAAAACATTATTGTATTAATATACAAAATAAAAACCTAGTGTAGTGGTAATTCTCAACGCTCGTCGTCTGTTGGCTATGGGACAAATTTTTATCTATGTGCCCATTTTATACTTGTTTATAAAGAACATTGTAGCCATAATCAATTGATTATAGAAAAGAAACCAGTGGCACTAAAACCTGTTAGCTCTGGGCCTCAGAGTACTGAATATGTTTTGAATAGTATCAGCCTTATGTGCCTGACCCACGCCGTCGACTTTTTTGTCTAGTTATGCCGGTTCCTCACGATGTTTTCCATCACCGTACGAGCGAATATTAAATGCGCACATAGAAAGTCTATAGGTGCAAAGCCGAGGGTCGAACTTTCGATCGAGTCTCATGTCGATGCCACTGGCCAACACTGCTCTAAACTTGTCTAAGGATATTTATTTATTCCATATCATTATTCTATCATTACAGTAATTACTAATTCGATAGAACGACACAACATTTATACCCACACCAATTAACCTAGATAAAAAACATTTAAAAAAATATATATATTTATATACCTACATCTTATAACTAATAATATAGGAAGCAACTCTTGTGAACTCAGCCAGTGTACAAACAAATAGGTCTACCTTAACAGAAATCTTATTTATTATGTGTATTGCTCGCGTGAGTGGTGCTTCGCTAACCAAGTTGGAATGTGCGCGCGGTACATCCAAAAGTTGAGACTTCCGCCTCAGGTTTCTACTTGGTACCCGTAGACTCAGTCTCTCCATTATATCCGGATTATGAACCCGACCCGTAAGTATCTTAAATATATACACCGACAAGGCTAGCTCTCTTCTCAGGCATAGCTGGTCATATCCCACCATACCCAGAACAAACAGGGTCGGGTACATAAGTGGATACAAAGGATACACTCCATACAGTCTCTTGTAGAGGTAACGGGTGAATTTATTTTGTATTCGCTCTAGCATATTTAGCCTCATATGGGGCCCACACCATTGCATTGCACTCCAAGTGACTTCTGACTAACGCATTGTATAAAATTTTAATCGCCCTGATATTTGTGAAGCCACAAGCTATGCTCTTAAAAGATCATTAAACATGCACAAATGCGTCTGTGCCATGCCCCTTTTGGGGACGGGTCTTCAACATCACTGTTATAAACGATTTTATGAAAAAACTTCGCACTCAATTATTTGTTTGTAAATTCTATCAAATTTAGTAGATTTACATTTAGTAATTACACCCGAGGGTCTTTACGAATCAGACTGAAATTGATAAGATTTTGATGTTTTAACTAACTTATCAAATGTTTTGTAATAATGATATGACAGACACCTGAATAAAATTTAATATTATTAATATGAAAAACTTAACAGAATTGAAATTTAGGCAAATTTTCCTAAAAACTTTCATACAGTATTTTCAATGGGTCTTTTTGTATTATCACCCCACCATTTGTTATTATCAAATAGAGGATGTCAAATGGAAGCGTCAATGACGTGGCCTGATCGAGTTTATCCCCTTTTTATGTAATAAGTACTATACCATTTTTAGAAGTATTTCTTATTTCTAGATTAAGTCACCTTAATATTGGTATCTATTAGTATGGTATCTTTATCGGAACCTGACGTCAACGTTAAGGAATTTCAATTGATTTGAGACATAAGCGATATAGAAAAAACATCATACAAAGAACTGGTATTTTGACTAAATATGTGCTTTTTTCTTTGATCATGAATTTTACGATTAGCCTACAGTGTATATTCAAACTGTACATTTTCTATTCATCTCAAATTTCATTTACATACCTGCCGTGGCTTGAGACTTCAAAGGTACCTACTTGAATATTTCAAAATTAATTTAGTGTCACGGGCAGATTCATACGATTAATAATCAATACTTTGCTAATGTTACTTATTTCGACGATGTATTTGCGTGTTGTTCCCACGAGAAAGTAAGTGCGTGCTCCTATTTCACCATGCCTAATGCTGATAGAGGACAAATCGTTGTTTTTTATTATTAATTTAATTACTTAGATATCATGTGGAACATGGTGTAATGGTTGCAGCTCCTTACAAACATTTTGTAAAACAAAAAACATGGCGATTAAAAAGTGTGGCAGAGAGTTAATTGCCAGTACTTCTCGTACGTTCTAGGCCCATGATTTGAGAACTGGCAGTAAATATAAAATTATAAGCATTTAGCTTTTAATATGTATTTCTTTATTGACGTTCGTAAATGTGCATTGTGTTACCTAAATGATTTTTAATATGTTAGAACTTAATATCTAAGCAATACAAACAACCTACACATTGTCGACCTCCCTTGACTATTGGTCATATCTTAGTTGAGTAGGCTTATATATATAATATAAATTTAGAGCTTATATCTTATCAGGTTTACAATATATTAAAGGGGTGATTTCTATTTTTATATCAAATTTAATTAGTAAAAATTATTCATGCATTCCAAAAATTATTAAAGTTAGAATGTCATGTAAAATATTTTTTGGCAGTATTCCAGATTTTTTTTATATAATTTAATAAATAAAATATCCCCATGTGTAAGTTTACTTTTACTTAATTACTAGCTTTTACTTTCCCTGATCTTAGTCCCAACTTTCGTAGTCCTATTTGGAAGGTATCTAGTTGTGTTACAATACAATACAACCCAACACCCAAAATTCTATAAAATATTAGATTATTTAATGTTTAATTTCAGTTTTCTTTGTAAATAAAATAAATACATAGTCTGCTTTTAGCTTTATAGAGTACGTACGAGAGAGTAATTATATGTGCTATGGTCGGAAAATGATGACTGATTCCACCGATATACCATAACGACACTTCTCAAGTACCGGATAATTTAGATATCCGAGCCGATCAAGGTACAGTCCACTGACCATGCACCGTAAAGCTTTAAGATATGCACTTAAAATAGCTAGGGAGCTGGCGAGCAAAATATCTATATGATTTGCTCATGTGGCAGACTTTTTTAATTGCGATAATTATACGATAAGGAATACTAAGGACAACGTCTGCAACCATGGTAGTGCTAATACTGGTGCTGCATGGTAGTGCTAATAAAAAGACAGGTATACTATATAATTTGATCGTGTCTGCCTTTAAGGTTGATGTTTAGAAGCCTTTAGCCCGGTCAATTTAGACATTCGAAGTTACATAAAGTCCCAACAAGCTAAATTTCTGTGAAATTGTTCAAAACATAATAATAAACAATGTCTAGAAGTTCCCCATCATTCCCGTGTAAGGAAAAATTTTTATTCAAGGGCAAAGGTCAAAAAAAATAGTTTTTCGCTATTTTTAGCAAAACGGTAAGTTTTATCATAAAAGTACCTGAGACCAAATTGTAGATCATACAATTATCTATAAAAAATGTATCAATACTTTTTTCTTACGAGCCACCGTTTCTGAGATATAACGATTCAAAAAGTTATAAAAGTTGTTATCGACGACCGGCCTTGACAATTTGTGTATGCCAAAGAACAAGACAGTCCGACTTACGTTCCCACGTGAATGTAAGTGCGTGCTCCTATTTCACCATGCCTCCTGCTGATAGAGGACAAGTCTTTGTTTTTATTTAATTTATGTTATTATTATTATTAATTACTTAATATGTCATGTGTAATGGTTGCAGCTCCTTACAAATGTTGTGTAAAAAAAAATGGCGATTAAAAAGAGTGGCGGAGAGTTTATTGCCAGTTCTTCTCTTCCGTTCTACGCCCTTGATTTGAGAACTGGCAGTAAATGTAAAATTAGAAGCATTAATATGTATTTCTTTACTGACGAGTCCATAAGTGTACATTCGTTACAATCATATAGGTAACAAAACCTATATGATTGAATTATTTTTTGAACTTTACTTTTTTACAGTATTTACAATATATGTGCCCGGTGGGCTGATGACTTTAAAAAAGCCACTGGTCCTCTGTGGCAAAGACTTGCCAGGGATAGGAAGCACTGAAAACAGCTGGAGGAGGCCTTTGTGCCACAAAGGCAAGCTGTACAAGAGGACAGCTGTGCAACAAAACCATCTTAAAGAACTTTTTTATATACATTTATATTTTGTAAAGTTTACTCTTGTATTAGTAGAAATAAAGGCTTTGAATTTGAATTTGAACATAGTAATAATAATAATTAAAAATTGATAAATCCTGTGGCAGTGTACATTTAACGCTGGCAGCATTTCCTCGCTCTATTGCGATAAGTCATTGAGCGAGGAAAGCACCAGCTTTGGGTCACCGGTACTATCTACCAGTCGTCAAATCTGTGATCAAAATTAAATCTTTAAATAGCGTCTCTACTCCAAAGGGAACAAAATCAAAGTTAACCTTATTATAAATAAAGGTTTTAGTAATTAAATAATCATTAATATACGAGGCATGCCTTTTAAGTTCTGTCGTTTCCATATTTCCCGGCAATTTTGAATTTGGACCTATACTATATTCGAATGTGGTTACATTTGGAATCTCAAAACAGTTAAAAATATTAGGATTAATGCTATTGTTTAGTCACAGCGTCGAATTGAATCTGTCAAGTTACGTACGAAAATGAATCTTTCTAAGGAGAATGTTCGTGCAATAATTTTCTACAACTTTAGAAGAGGCCTGACACGGCTTCAGTGTTTTGAAGAGCTAATATCTGTGTTCAGTGATGAAGCCCCATGTCTGCGGACTGTCGAACGCTGGTATTTAGAATTCCAGCGTGGACATACTAGTGTTAGTGACAAATCTCGCGAAGGACGCCCAAAATCCGCCTTCACTAAAGAAAACATCATTGCAGTGAGACAATTAATTCTCGTAGATCGTCATGTGACGTATCGAGAGATAGAGGCTCTATTAGGCATCTCAGGGACAACCATTCAGAAGATCTTGCATGAAGTGCTTGGTGTGAGAAAGCTAGTTTGCCGTTGGATACCGCATCTGCTTTCCGACGATCCGCGTCAGATGGTGTAAGAAAACTCTGCAAAGGTTCAACCGAAGAGAATCAAATCACGACTACGACATCATCAGTGATGATGAATCTTGGATCTATGCCTACGATCCTGATTCCATACAACAATCTACAATCTGGGTCTTTCAAGACGAGCCAAAGCCGACTAAACTCGTTCGTTCTCGAAGCACTTCAAAGATGATGGTGGCCACGTTCGTTGGAAAAACCGGCCATGTTGCGACTATTGCACTTGAAGATCGTAGAATGGTTAACGCAGAGTGGTATACCACAGTTTGTTTACCACAAGTCATCGCCAAACTTCGAAAATCTAACTTAAAGCGACGCATCATCCTGCACCACGACAACGCAAGCTCACACAGCGCTCGTCAAACAATTCAGTATTTGAAGCAGGAAAAGAAGAAATTCTTGACCATCCTCCATACAGTCCTGACCTAAGCCCTAACGATTTCTTTACATTTCCAAAAATTAAGAAAAGTCTTCGTGGTCAAAGGTTCCAGTCCGGTGAAGAAGCAGTCGACGCTTTCAAATCAGCCATTTTGAACACCTCCACTTTAGAGTGGAATTAATGTTATAATAACTGGTTTGAGCGAATGGAAAAGTGTATTAAGCTACGTGGTGAATACTTTGAAAAACAATAAAAAGTACTATAAGGTTCTAGTTGTGTTTTTTTCTGCAAACGACAAAACTTAAAAGGCATGCCTCGTACAATTGATTTGCTCAATAAACATAGTCGTAAACATTAGTGGAAGTGAGATTCTCAGCATGAATTCGACCCTCGGTGGTTTATTATATACCTCGTATGGTGATAAAATCCTCATTATTTGACCCAAAAATCAACGTGTATGAGGCATATAATGTTATTAATAACATTGTATGCCTCATACACGTTAATTATATATAATACAGGTTAATTTTCATTAAAAAATCGGGACGTCCCGCCAAAATCGAGACGTATGGAACGCTGGGCATAGTAGACCGATAAAAAAAAACAAAATAAAACCCTATGGCTCACACGATAGCGATAAGTTTTAAATTACATTATGTAGCAATAAAGTTTATTTGTATGTATTTATATACCCAAGGCCCAAACCGCTGCAGAGCTAGATGTATATATAAGTAGTGGACAAAATAAAGCTACAAAGTCACGAGGAAATCTCATGATCGCTAAAAGAACGTGTTTGCATTGTTTAAGAATAAATTACGTTTTAATTTCCTGCAATTTTATTAAATTTTTCCTGTTTACACGGGTTTAAATAGATTTTAAATAGATACACGTCGTGCATTTTTATAATTATATAATAATATTTGAAACGTTAAAAAGAAAGATAAAGGTCAAAATGAGAGAATCATACTATTCGTAGTTTAGTTATTAGTATATAAAGGAAACATTTTTGTATGTATATTTATTTATATTTGTGGAATAAAATCAATTTTTTTTACTATTAGAAACCTATACTAACCCGGAGGAATCTGCGTAGGATAGGTCGCTAATAAAATCGTGCTTATAATTTTCACTGCCTTATCATATGTACGTAGTCGGTCCCAAAGTTCTGTCATAAATGGAAATAATGATAAAAACAAAAGTACTGATCAGTTTGTAATGAGTGATATATCAATTCTTAGTACATTAATTAAGGAATAAAAAAAGCATAAAAATATTCGAAATAACCTCCCTCATTTTTAATACAGGCCCTTAAGCGTCGCGGCCAGTCGTCTATCGCAGCACGCACCATATTCGTGTCGATTTCAGTCACTGGTTTTTTTAAAGATGACTTCAGATTCTCCAAATTTTCATGAGGTTTATCACAGACCTTCCTCTCTAAGCCCTGTCATAATTTTCGGGTCCAAAGGATTAAGGTCCGGACTGGAGGAAGGCCAATCCTCATGTCTAATTAAGACGATGTTTTGACGCTCAAACCAGGCTTTAGTGGTCTTGGCTTTGTATGCAGACGCAGAGTCCTGCTGGAACACGAAGTGATGTCCCGCAAATAGGGTGCTGGACATGTCTTTGACAAGGCGATACAAAACCGTCTCTTGGTACACTGTAGCACTGGTTTTGACCCCCTTTTCGAAAAAAATTAACCTCAGTTAGCCCGTAATAGGACACTCCCAACCAAACCATTACTGATGATGGATGATGTCCATGTTGCACCCTTGGAACTTTATTTTCAGCTTCTTCAGAACTCCTAGCGTACACTGTATAATTCTGTTTATTGTACTTCTCTTCAATATCGAAAAATTTTTCGTCCGTAAAGAGGATATCACGGTGTCGGTTTTTCGCGTACCGCTTAAACAACACCCGCGATCTCTTAAGCCTTATTGCTTTTAGACGAGCATTAAGTAAGTGCCCACTCTTTTTTTGTATGCTCGTAGACCAAGATCTTCATTTAAAACCTTTTTTACTGTTTTCCTACTGACACCCATCTGCAAATCCATCAACTTCTGTTTTCGGACAGGATTTCTTACTATCCGCGCCTTGATAGCTTTGATTACTGCTGGTGTTCTTGCGGAGCGTGGCCAGCCAGTTCTTTTCTTGTCCTCAACACTGGAGACTTCAAGGTACCTATCAATAGTACCGTACACAAACCTAAGCGTTATATTCAAATTTTTGAGCAACTTGAAAATGGTACTCGGCGAGTGTCCACAGCGGTGCAACGCAATAACAACTATTCGGTTTACTTTCAATGTCCACTCCATCGTGAAAAATTACGGAAAGTTATTGTTTTTTGTTTTAAAACAATAATCAAACATTCCAAAATAGAATGCAATAATTTTTTTATAAAATCCTGCCCGAAATGTAGAAATAATTTGCTAGTGACAGAACTTTGGGACCAACTACGTATATCATAATAAACAATTTTTATTACTCATCCGTATTTTCTATATATGTATTTAAAAAAAAATATCGAATATTTATTCACCAACACGCATTTGTCAAGAACCTAAAACTGGTTAATCAACATAAGCGTATTGCGAATTAATAATACAACTCTGGTATCTCTTTGAAAATGTTACATTCATTTTAATATACGAGTACACCTATATAAAGAAAATATTTAAAAGACTACCGAGAGTTTTTTTACGCCGGCGTTTTTTCTTGGTCTTCTTTGCTGATGAATAGGGATATCTACCAATTCAAATTTAGTGACGTGGAATAAGTGATATCTTATGTATCTTATGTTCCATAATAAACATATATTTTTTTTATCCATTTATTTACCTTTAAATTGTTCATGTTCTTGCATAGTCTGTACACTGCAACGTAGTCTGTTGACTGTGAGTTGCACTGTGTCATTGAAGCCATCCTCGCTCCCGGAGTATAATAACGTCACTTCCAACTGACCCTTTCTATTTTCCCTCTGAAATTGTTGAAATTTTAAAATTAGAATATTTTTTATCGGAAGTGAGCTAGTTTAGTTTTATTTAGGTCAGTAATATAAGTAAATTTTGTTTTGAGAAAAAGAAGCAAGTCTATGGTCGAGTGACGAGTCTGGTTAAAGATAACTAAAACATTTTAGCAATGGCTTCTTAGTGTTACTTTTAATCAGCCTTATATAAAGGTAAAACTATATGCGTTTCTACGCATTTTTTTTGAAGTTATACTACATTTGGCGCGTTAGGAAAAAATTATATTTTTTTTCTATTGTTAGTGTCGTTTTTTCTACAAACGAATAAGGCGAAAGATATATTTTTTGAAAATATTTTTATCTTGTTACGCCAAACTAGTATAACATCTAACGAGTGTACATAAGTACACACAGGATTTTTTTAATTAACTTAACCTAAAAATCACGTGTGTCTGACACATTACCTATATGCATAATGGGCAGCTACCAGGAGACGTATTAAGTAAACAGTCACATTCACATTCGTACTCACAAAATTTAATTTATATTTTATTAGGGTAGTCCAATCATGGCATTTATTCCTGATTAGATTTTTGCTATTGGCTACGTAAATAAATAATGTTCAAAAAAGCGGATCTCTATGTAATAATTAATAACTTAACTAAACAGCCATCAACTTAAATTCTAAATGAAAATTATATTTAAATAAGTGTATAATTATACGTTAACGATGCAATTAAAATGTACTTAATAAGCTAATTGTTTGAATTGAGGCAATTATTCAATTTAATTTGGCTTGTATATAGCTGCCACATTGAAATACCGACAAATAAAGCAATAAATTACGATGATCAAAATATTTTATGACTATTAAGCGCTTTATAATAATTTTAATAAATTTTAATAATTTTAAAATTAAAATATATTTCTACAGAAACGATTTTGTTTTATATTACTTATTCTTCAATCAATCAGGGCACCATTTGAAATCACTTCCTCGTTTTTCCTTTGATGGTGAATAGCTTCGAAACACAAAATTAAAAAAATAAGCATATAGGCCCCATTGAAGTATAATTTGACCTGCCATTTGTATATGAAATTCAGCAATAGCTAGTTGTTATTGTTATCTTTATATATACAGGATGGCCAAAAACGCAAATAGGGGATAGATGAGGTCATCAGCTGCAAAAAATTGTTCTACGGGTGGTCTCTAAGCTCAACCCCTGCAGAGTTATAATTTATTTTGCGTTTTTATAAGAGAATTGATTTTTTTTTACAAATTCTTATTAAAATTCGAAAATATCTACATCCTGTATCTTTTTCATAATATCCACTGTCACTTAACTCCTCTTAAACGCTCCGATTAGATTTTTTTTTTTGTATGCGTTTGGATGGCGCCCTGGATGCTTAATATTCATAAATCAGCCCGGCAGGTGGCGCTGCAGTCGATACTTTCATACATATTTAATATCCTAATCGCTTAAAATATCATGCAGGACAACGTCTGTCGGGTCCTTATATAATAAGGACAATAAAACAGAGCTAATTTATGCATAAACCCTCTTTAAGCACTTTGTGTACGGGATACGAGTGAAATCGACAATCATAACAAAACGTCATCAAAATCTAATTACCAATTGAATAACATATTAACATATAACGGTATTTGCAAGCAATTTTCCAAAATTAGCATGAAACTAAGACCTATCATGTTTTAAAACAGTCATCTTCGAACTCCGTTTCACGGACAGATTTTTGAAGTTATACTTCTTTAGGCGCGTTATGAAAAATTTATAAGAGTGAAATTTTACGATGCGCGCGCACCGTGACACAAAATTATCAGTACGGACGCCGAGCGTGCGCGAGCGAGATGGGAATTAGACAATCTACAAGTAAAAAGAAATAGAATATGCGTGACGTTTGCAGCTATGCCAAGAATTTTGAATGACCATAATGACATTTGTAGTATCTTTTAAACAAATAAAGGAGTTTTAATTATGTTTTCAAAGAAATTTAGCAATGCTTTTTCACAAAGACATATTGTTACTTAGTTAAAAGGTTATGAAACATACCTTGTTATTAAATTGAATTAATAATATAATAAAATAATAAATAATAATTATTATTAATAATAATTAATAATTGAATAATATACTAAATATTAAATATTGTTAAATTATTAACGCTAAATATTTATTATTAATTATTTAATATTTAAAAAAAATAAAGAAAGCCAAAGAAGTATAACTTCTTACGCGCGTACATAAGTACACGCACCATTTTTTTATATATAATGAATATACATATAATTTAAATACATTAATAAAAAGCCTCACAAGATCTTTCTTATTTAGGGATAATGATAGTAGATACTTCATGTTAAATAAATATATGCATCTATTTTAACATAGCATGATTGACATTAGAAGAAACAAACGAAATATGTAGTCAAATTAAGGGTTTTACTAAGATTCTATATTTTGTGTTTCATGTTGACGACCGTTCTAATGAAGGTTAGTGTAGTAATAGGAAGGAAATCAAGGAAGGAACATGCTTAGGCCTGACATTTGAGCGAGCCTTATTAGCGTTACACATATACATTATATGTATAATGTATACATGTGTATATATTATGTATTTAAGTAGGAAATTTCGAGGCATGTTAAAGCAATCTATGTGAAAAGTTTCGCATTCTGTTACAAATGTATTTTCTGTTGCAGTGTCACTAGCTTTAGACATTTAACCCTAAGGTCCATGTATTTTTGTTCTAAGTGCGCATTAATTTATTTATTCTAGTTCACCACATCGTACATAATGCTATCTACAGTATATGTTACATTCATTTCTAAAATAAATGACAATTATGGTAAACATAAATGTTACAAAAAATTAAAATATATATAAAATAAAAATTACTAGCAAAACAGCGGATTAGGTATGAGAAATGCAAGTAACAATGCTTTTTTTTTAAATTGTACCATGAAGACATCTTGACAAAACCGGCCTGTCTAAAGGCTAATAGCTAGTACACATTGGGCGGTCGACAAGCGTTAATAGGGCGAGTATACTGTATACATTTGGCTCAGTTCGGAAATGGACGTCGAAGTGGTTGCTTGCGTGTCGTTTGGCTCGTCGTCCGTCGCTATAAAAGCGACGACAGAGACAAAGAGAATATTGGGTGCACACCTAAGAGATAGACTGACTCTGGAATGTTTATTACATTGCTTGTTGTTTGCTATCATCAGATTTACCAAAAATTTCTACCATCTCCTCTCAATTACCTTAGTTTTATTAGTGTCTTTTCATATCCCAAATAGTTCGTCGCTTTCGGATTTCATCGAAGAATCAAAGAAAATCAAAGAAATCCGTAACAAAATGATCGTTCACCATTTTCGCCAACGTGCGTCCACTCTTTACGAAAGCGCGCGTTCCAATGTACAACAAAATGGCTGCTCACGTATCTTGAAACGCGTGGCTCACGTCTGCACAACGCGCGTTCTAACCAAAATCTGTAAACACGCGCGCGCTTCGAGCCATGCGTTTGCATGTGTACACTGTAACTCGTAGTTCTTACAACGAGCGTTACCGCAGCGCGCGCTTCAAAACGCGTAATGTGAACTTGCTCTTAGACGCGAATTATATATCAAATTCCATTACGTTTTTATAAATGACGTTCACGTCCGACCTAGTTGCCTTAAGACAAATAATTGACGAAACACACAGAAATCGAAGTCTATACTGTAGCGCAACTGGGTTATGTATTACAAAAGTAAGGCCCTTTAAAGAGTTTATGCATTGCATACAAAGTGTAAATATTGCGATAAATCTTTAAAAAGATTCACAAGGTTGTATTGCGTCATCTTTACATGTCTTGCCTCTCGTGGGCTTGATCAAGGTTGAAACGATTGCATTGTATTCGAAATTCAGTGAGTCACCATCGTATGAATTAATTGGATTTTAATTGACCCTTTAATTACGACTATCTTTGACAATTGATTTGGTTAGCTCTTTTTGTTACTTTAGTAGATCTTTTAAACTATGCATAAAAGAGAAAAGAGCGTATATCAAGTCTTAAAAGGCCGGCAAAGCACTGGCGAGCCTTCTGGCAATGTGAGTGTCCATGGGCGGCGGTATCACTTAACATCAGGTGAGCCTCTTGCCTGTTTGCCTCCTATTACATAAAAAAAACAAATAATAAATCAGTGGCGCTACAACTTTTTTAGATCTGGGCCTCAGTATCTGTTTCATGATCATTTGTCAATCTTATAGGCAGGTGATCATCCTCATGTGCCTGACACACGCCGTCGATTTTTTATGTCTAAGGCAAGCTGGTTTCCTCACAATGTTGTCCTTTACCGCTTGAGCTAATGTTATATTAGCACAGAACTAAAGTATATTGGTGCACAGCCGGGGATCGAACCTACGACCTTGAGGATGAGAGTCGCACGCTGAAGCCACTAGGCCAACACGGCTCATTTTAATCTATGACATTTTATAAAACTTATACAATTTAAACTAGTAGCTTAATAGTTAACGCATTTAGCGAGTAACCAATCCTTTTTTCCAAAAAAAATCCGGATAAATTAGACATGCTCGAAACTGTAACCGCTTCTGGAGAATAGGTTAACCTACTAACGGGCCGTTCAAGTAATACGTAAGCAGATTTTGCTGCAATTTATTCCGATAACGATTTTTTATACTTTTGATCCAAGCGAGCACAACCTGCAGGGGCCCCTTTTCCCACGCTCAACCTATAAAGAAGCAACATCAGTATGCTCTGCCTCGAAGAAGGTACGGGTACACATTATCATCATTTATACAAACAATTATAAATACTTATAATATTTAAATAATATATAAAACGTATTTGAACAAACAGCAAACTTCTTAACTATTACCATATTAACACAGCGTTCATAAGATAACATTTCAATAAGATGGCAATACTCGACGCGACAGTCTCTCGCTATCCACGATTGCTGAAAAGCCCTCTAAATGTTATATAAATAACGTAATAAAGTACCGTTTATATTCGATTAATAATTTAAAGAAAAAACTTTTTACCGGATTAAAGTTATGTATTATTATAAATTTACAATTATTTAACATAAATTTAAATTTATCCGACGTTTCGCGTGCTTTACAGCGTGCGTGGTCAGGTGACGCGAATAATTGTAAATTTATAATAATACATAACTTTAATCCGGTAAAAAGTTTTTTCTTTAAATGTGTAATGGTTATGTCAATCAAAGACAATACTTCGTTTAATAATTTCTATTAAATGTGTAGTGTGTGATTACAATAATAATAGAATCCACGACATCACGATCCGAAAAAGCGTTACCAGTAATGTCGAAGTCGCCAATCTATTAATCAATTACTGGAGGGAGCAGTGTCGGCCTAGTGCCTGAGTGTGCCACAATTATAACGCAGGGGGCGTTCGAATCACGGTTCCATAGAATTTTCCAACTATGTGCGCACTTGCTCCTACGATGAGGAATAGGGATAAGTTAAATTTAATGTGATTAAAACGTCTCAACTCTTCTAGATATAATTTAAAATTGATTATTACTAAAAAGAACTCGGTTTCTTTGTACCTAGGGGATCTGTGCGACAGCGAAGACCAAGGTTGTTTGCGATACCAAGGGCCAGAGCCCAGAACCAGTCTGTTGCACAGATCACGGTTAACAAAGACGTTGCGCTTACTGAATGTTATCTCTTACACTATCGACATCTTTATATGTTCGCTGTGACTTCACAGTAGCGAAATTATGTAATTAATAAATTTTACTAGCTGATCCGGCAAACGTTTGTTTCGCCATGTAAATAAATGTAATAAAAAAAAATAAGTATCTACAATAATAAAAAAATTGGGGTTGATCGTAGAGGGGTGAAAATTAGGGGTTGTATACAGTATTTTTGTATGCTGTATTATAAAAAATAAAAGTATTTTTTTTTTCAAATGTTGGGGTGTCCACCTCTTAACACTTAGGAGTTTGAAAGATAGATAGTAGCCGATTCGCAGACATGAATATGCATAATACATTTCATAAGAATCGGTCGAGCCGTTTCGTAGGAGTATGGGAACGAACATTGTGACACAAGAATTTTATATATTAGATTATATTACGACATTATCGTATTAGCTTAGTACTGTTAGCTTAGTATATATCTTTGCAAATAAATAAATAATTATTCAGGGGCGTAATATTTGTAAAGATTGCTTACTCGTGTGTCGGTAGTGCTGAGTCCACTTGTAATTGCATTGATCGGCCTCCAAATATCCGGTGTTCCAATCAACCCATTTTTCAAGTCATTTTGAAATAGCTTCGAGTCGAAATTCCACGTCGCAGCGCCTACTGTCCTTCTCTTCTCAAGAATGTTCTTTTGAGCCGTAGACTCTTTTGAAACTTTAAAACTACTGAACGAAGACAGTAAAGACTTCTTTGGTTCCTCATTCATTGTATTCATAGTCGTTTTAGCGTCAAGTGTTTTCGAACTCTTCTTTTTGTCATCTGGTTTCGGTGTATCAAGTAAGGCGTAAATAGTTAGAGATAGAAAGTGTCCAGCAAGCTGGCTCTGTAAATCTGTCTTTTTCGAGTCTTTAGGTTTCAGTTGGAACTTGAAATCTTCGTTCCAAACCGGATTAGAGGTGTCTTGAAGTGTGGTTTCATATTTATTGTCGCCGGGGAAAACTTTTACCTAAAATAAAACAAATTGTGTTAACAATTTATAACTTGTAAACTTATTAATTGTACGCATTTTTATATTATAAGCATTATGTTATGGCCTAGTGGCTTCAGCGTGCGACTCATCCCTTTTCGTTTCCTAGCGTTTCTTTCCTTGTTTCTGTTTTTTTTGTTTGTGTGGCCTTGTTGGCGCGGCTATAAATAAATAAATAACTTTATATTGCAAGGGTATGCCATGTGAAGGGGTGGCAGGGTGCCAGTTCAAATATGTAAGGAAACGTCTTGACTGTACAATAAATAAAACATATTATAACTAATGAGATATACGAAGCAATAAAAATTAATTTAGCAAAAATAAATTATAAAAAAAAGGGTTTTCGATTCTATATATATATATCAGTTAGGGGCAGATATTCAGCGACGCCCTTGGCATATGATAGGTCATTATTTCTATGTGTTTTTGATAATAAAATGCATAAGTTTTTGTCATATTTATTAATAAGAACTTATCTACGCTACAATAGTTTTTGTGTCCCATGGGACCATTGCCATTCCCAGGGTTCTACTGAACTTATCTCACTAACGACGGTAAACAATTTTGTATGTAAAGGCACGCTAACTATAAAATATTGCAGAGCTATTAGGAGATATTAAGAGCAGTGTTGGCCTAGTGGCTTAAGAGTGCGACTCTCATCCCTGAGGATCGATCCCTGGCTGTGCACCAATGGACTTCTTTCTATGTGCGCATTTAACATTCGCTCGAATGGTGAAGGAACACATCGTGAGGAAACCGACATGTCTTAGACCCAAAAAGTCGACGGCGTGTGTCAGGCACAGGAGTCTGATCACCTACTTGCCTATTAGATTGTAAAATGATCATAAAACAGATTCAGATATCTGAGGCCCAGACCTAAAAAGGTTTTAGCGCCACTGATTTATTTTATTTATTTATTACTATAAAATATTACTACAACTTTATTATAATATGATTTGAAAGGTAGACGAATAAAACCTTCACAGCGTACAACCGGTGTATCGTCAGTGCCCCGTCTTGAGACCCTCAAGAAAAAACATCCTTACGTCCTCATTTATAATTGTAGTCTATGTATTGGTCGTGTTCTGTGGTGTAGTTCGTAGGAATATTTCTCTTAGAACTATATGCGTTATGGTTGAGGTGTCAGTGTTACTACTTATTATCAGCCAACATCGTCCAATACATAAAGTGCAACAGGCTCAAGTGGCTGGGACATGTGCACCGAATGCCGAACGATAGAACCCCAAGGTCCTTACTGAACCCACAACCCGATGGCAAAAGAAAACCCGGTAGACCGAGGCTGCGTTGGTGGGATGGAGTTGTCAAGGACCTCAAAACAATAGTGGTTCGCAATTGGACGCGGGAAGCACTAGGTAGACTGCGATGGCGAAGTGTAATTGAGGCTAAGGCCCACAAGGGGCTGTATAACCATTGATGATGATGGTCAGTGTTGTTATAAAATATTGTATTATATATTGTGAATTACGACAATTTTATTATATCATCAAAGACTCAACGTCTCCAATATCGCCCATGAATATTGTAAATAGAAATATTATCGATGCAATGTAGCCGGGACGTATCTCGCGAGACGCTTAACACACTATTCGTGAACTAGTTTATTGTAATTAATATATTGTATCTTTTTTTTTATTTGAGAGATAGAATAAGTCCCTGGACACAATGGCAGAGGGGTAGAGTTATTATTACTATAAAAACAAAAAATGTATAGCAGTTACTCTTCAGTATTGTGCGAGCGATAATGAAATTAACATATTTATAGCTTAATAAACCTAAAATTATGGCGAACAACGTTACGTGTGCGATTAATTCTTATTCACACGATAATTAATTCATGTTTATCGAGTTTTTTAATGGCGTTTAATAATTCAATAAGTAGATAACACAATGAAATTTTGTTTCATCTTATATATATATATTAATTACACTTAGACAAGTATTTTAGAGTAGTATATACGTTAATACAAACGGTGAGAATGTAAAACAAAAGACTGTGCCTTTGATTCTGATTGGTCAACAGCATCTCTAGACCAATACCTTACACGCGACATGATGCGTCATATTATTGCGTCCATTAAATTAATCACAATCGAACCCAACGTTTCGCCTTGCGTCTTTTGTTTTACGATTTCACCAGCCAGGCACATCGAATGATGTAAGGATAGTTTAATTGTGAATACACAAGTACCCAAGGGATACAAATTGATTGCACATGAATGCCCTAGGTGACGTATGGTGTAAAAATAATTGAGGCAATCAATGATATAATCATTTTCCGTGTATGGGGACAACAAAAATAGTACTTTATAAATTACTTTATTCTTAAAAACTAAATCAATCCAATTGGGACCTTGTCCCTTTCCATTACAGCATAAACACAAATTGTCAGAGAGAGACGGAAGAGTATGGTTAAAAGAGTAAGGTAAGAAGGAGGTAAGGTATTGAATTTCAACTTTCCATCATACAATGAAAACAGAAGCAATATTTTAGTATATTGTATGTTTTAACGAAAACTTTCTTTAACAGTAGATAATTATAATCTATATTTGTACAGTTTTGAATAATTATTTATTACATTAACATGTTCCTCTCCACAAAGTATATCGAATTCCCGCCACCAAGAGACGGTAATTAATATTAATAGCTTGTTGTTATCGATACTGTCAACGATAAATATTCTTAACAACACGTTTTGAAGTACTGTGATTAGCATTTGTTTTAAATCGTTCGACAATTTTCTTGTGTTAATAACAGTTGGACACAGTTGGATACAATAGGACTATAGTGGCTGGGCGATACTAGCCTAATTCTGGGACCTACAACCCTTTTTTTAAAGGTGAAATGTATGAAGCGATAAACTGCTCAGTAGCTGTTACAGTATATCTGTGCCTTGCTTGGGAGGTTACGGGTCATAAAGCAACCAATTTCAGAGTTATGTATTATAAAAATTTTAAGTATAGGTAGGTAATTATACATGAACAAATCAGCCTTTGAACCTTGAGAACTGTGGCCCAGGTGTTTTGTTGACATCTGCATATTTTTGTGTTCAATTTTATTACCCTCACCGCGTTTGTCTACGATTAATTCAAATACTAACGTAATTGCTTACGTGACTTTCATACACTGTTTAGTAACATAACCGGATTTAGCTAACCATTGTGTCTAATATTATGTCCTTAGAGTAGTAAGATTTAGCGCTATATATATAATAAATATTCTTCCGTATGACAAATTCAATAGATTGTTTTATGTTTATAGAATTGTATTTACCAGATATAATTTAGTTATCACATACATATAGTCTAATAGTCATAAATTAAATATAAAGAATGTATAATTGCGATAATTAATAAGGTAATTTAAACGAAAAATATAAAACAGAAACAATTGTATCCATACTTACAGGTCGAAATATAATGATTGTTCGATATCTTTAAAACTTTAACGTTTAGGAATAAGATAAGCTAAAAGATATCTTTAGATTATGCACAACATTTCTTGATAATAACGCAATTTTATCATCTTTAGTTCAAGGACTAGGTCATAATTGAACGAACTAGAGATTATCGAAACTATTGATAGTTACGTCTATAGGTACCTATACTACGTCTATTATTTACTATTTCAATTGTTTTTACTTAATATTAAACGTATGGCGTACTTTCCATAATTTTATTAAGGCCATATCTTTTTTTGTCATATAAAATTAGTAAGCTTTAAACGTATACTTAGAACACAGCAATGTTGATTTATATAATTGCTTCTAAAATGATCCTCCTTGAATGACCCTAATTCATGAATTGAGATGATTCAATGCCTAAGGCCGTAAAGGTCGTATGTTATTCGCATACTGCAAAGTATAATTATTTCCTTCGACACGTAAATATCGCTTAATATTTCATCAGAACGGTTTCAATTTTCAACAATTCAAAATCAATAGGTGTATAAAATTACGTCGGAAAGTTTCAGATTATTCGTATAGCTGAAGAGTTTTTATTCAACGGGATGACTTAGGATCTACTCGTTCAGATAAAAAAGTGACAAAAAAAGGAATTCCTTTTTGAATTATTTCGTTAAGTGCGCTGCGTAAACGGTGAGATTAACACAGAAATCAAGTATGACGAAATCGTTACTCTTTAGGTTTTATAAAAGAAAAAGTCCTGAAGGCATTTGATTATAATAATATATTATATGATATCAGTGTTAAAGTAATTCGACAACAAAATAAGAGTCAAGTAGGTACATCACGCGCCTTTATGATGTGCCCTAGTCGTAAATTAACACGGGTGAAACCACTGGAAACTGCTTATGGTTAGTACATAAATAAGAACGAGGTTAGAATAATTTGAAACAGGAAGTTACCTTAACTAAGTATCCATGAGCGCGGCTGAGTCCGAAAAAGGATGGTAGATTCCTGGCACCGATAACAGTAACAAACAAATTTTTGCTGATCGGATGTAATGATAATTTAAAACCTATTTCTGGCTCCGAACTACCACTGCCGCTAAGAGTACTGTCTTTGTTTGTATTTAAAATATTTTTAAGTTTATTAAAAGAAAATGCCATTCTGCAAATAATCACTTATTCTTATCACACTTAATCAAGTTTGGTAATTACTAATTTGTTGGTTTAGCCGAGCACTCCATCACTAAAAGTTAAATTATATTTGATTGTAGAAGCACATCCCATGTTATCTTAATACTATTGAATTCACAATCTTCAATTTTCAAACTTTAGTAACTTCATTTAACTAAAACAAACGAAACACCAGCGATAAACAAAAGCTGATAATAAACTACAGATTGTTTGATATGTCATTCGTAATTTTCAAGGCTACCTACTGTCAAATTGTACTGCGGCTAAAATAAAAATATTTGGAAACGATGGCATAAAACTACATTAATATAAAAACCACTAAGAAAAGACAGACGAAACTAAGACAATTATATAAATTTATTATTCATTTAATTACGTAATGTTATTAATTGAATACTAGGGACATATAAACAAGACATTATTAAAGAAAAGTGACTGCTCGAGCGTACTTATAACTTCGGCGAACTTTATAGATACTTTTAATATTCCTGCCATCTAGTAGTATAATATGAAGAATATAAACATTGTTAGCAAGTTTTAGATCTACAATCAATAAAGTACCTAGTTACAGTAGAAAAAAGATGTCACTATTCTACATGTAATAAACAAGTCTTATAACATAAAACTGCAGTCTGTATTTCTTGGTATTAATTTCGAGCCGCCTTAAAAAGAATGCACAGGGCTACCTTCTTCGGCTATCAATGACCGAGACCGATAACATTACTCTTTTTCGTGTATACTGGGTATTTACCATCGTTTATTATTTAAAACAAACGTGAGTTGTGTTCAAAATAAATTATTTAATACTGATAATAAAAACAATACACAGATATTTATATAAAAATACTTTATTCATATTACAGAACATAAGTCTTTCAGTACAATACAGGTACACAATAAAACACAATCCATACTTATTAATCATATAAAAAAGAGAAGTCTATAAAATAAAATCAACTACTCTACTAGAAAATAAGTCTTATTTTATAAATATAGTCAAACAACCTTGATTTACTAAATCCCGGAGAAATCGATAACATTTAGTGTACATAATAAAAAATTTGTAAAATTTACGTTTATTTATTATACCCAAAACAAGTTTAAAAATACTGGGGAAATTATAGTTATGTTATATTAGTAAAGATTATTACTGACTATCGATTCCTTTAATGAGTTCAATAAAGTTGTGATTGGAATTTAAGATTTAGAAAAGAAATTACTTAAACATGTGACAATTCCATCATAATAATGTATGAATATTGATACAATTAAAACAAACATGGCAAAGCAAATTCCTGTAATATACATGAATTGGCTGGCTTCTTGGGGAGTGGCAAGAAGCTCTTCGCTACTGGCATCACGATCTAAAGCGTCAAATTCTGAAGTATCTGTAAATATAAACAATCCTTAATATATCAGAATACAAAGAGTATTTCTAAAACAGCACCATAGACTATGGCACCAAAATGCTCATTGTCTAGGACTGCATATTAATTGTAAAGAGTACAATGCGGCGAAATTTTCATTTTTTTTACTTATATTATAAAATCAAAGTACTTGGGATAGACAATATGACATAATTATGATTTGTAAACAACTTTGAGGTTGAAGATTTATAAATTTACCTGCTGGAGTTTCAATATCACAAACAACATCTGCCTCTGTTATCTGCAAGTCTAGTAGTTCTTTGACAGATACCAATGCTTCAGCTGGTGCCTCCCCAGGAAACAGATAATCACAGAAGTAAGAAGTCCCAACCGGTACTAATACACGACGGGGTGGCTCGTTGAAGCATATTTTTTCTGGGGATATAATACATTTCTCAATGATCTAAAAATATAATGTAGCATACCATCATGTAATAAAATAATCCAGTGGTGCTAGCCCTACATGTCTATTGACTTCAAATAGCATCAGTTTTAATCTTTGGACGTAATACATGCCAGTTACCTTACAATATTAACCTTCAACATACAAGCAAGTATGAAAAGTATTCATAGAAAGAAATATTCATTGCACAGTCAGAATTTGAATTATATCCTTAGTTGATAATTGCAAATGTCAAATCAATCTTGAACAAGAACATGTACAAGAGTTTAATAAAACACTATTTTGACCGGATTGAAGTTGTGTATTATTATATAATAATACATAACTTCAATCCGGTCAAAATAGTGTTTTATTAAATGAATAAAAGTTATGTTAATCAAAGACAATACTATGTACAAGAGTTGACAATAATTTCAATTTATTTGTAAAGCTAAAGCCAATGTTAAGTATTTATCTTGATTGCTAAAAAGTATTATTTGTAAAGATGGTTGAAAGAAATCTTTTTTAACATACTATATGCCTGATCCAATTATTTAATGTTGTAGCAAAGTCTAAAAGTTGAAATTTACCTTCTGGCAGTAAATTGTCATCAATCAATGCATCACAGTGCATAGTGAATCGGGAAGCTAGTGACCTTATGATATCTTGTTTAACAGCCTCCGTAGCTTCTTTTATTGTAGCTTTAGGATACATAAATATACTGGATGCAACAACACCACTAAAGTGAATATGGCCATCACACTCTGAATATTGCACTGTTTCAGGAAAGGTATTCTCCTGAAAAATTTTGTTATTGAAAAGCTCAATACATAAAACTTCTAAAAGTAGAGATCAGGAGATAGTGTCATTCACATGGAATAAAACTTTTTATTAAACACAGTAAAATAAATAAACTAGAACCAATGATATATTATAATTTAATAAAAACATTGGAATTAATATTTCAAATGGCATTCATTGGCAAATAAAATAAAATAAAACAACCATTTCATGTCACCATCAAGATCTCATCTGTTATAGACGTTTTTGTGTAATTTAAATCACTAATACAAGCAGCTGAGGTCGCTTAATTTTGTTAGGTTATTAACCAATTATAGACAACTTAAAACACCAGTGTAACACAATCATACTTACATAAGGCACAAACAAAGACACTTGTATAGATTTAGGATTATCTGTGGCTCTTTTAATAATAATCTTCCTCTTCTTAAAAACTTGTTCTAAAGGTTCTGATGCATCTTTCAACTCTCCATCAATGAACATAACACACAATTCAATTGTTTTGTGAGCAGACTCCAGTATTTGCTAAAAAAAGGTTAAATCATACAGGTCCCAAAAATATACACCTTCGTTGGAACACATGATGTATATTGTTTTAAATAATATAATTTTTACTGAAATATAATTTTAATTATTGAATAAATATTATTAAATATTCCTGTAACATATAAGGCATTCTGACTGACTTTCAAAACAATGAAAGTTTAAAAATTCATAACCATTGTGCTTTGGGAGCGTTCAAGTATTACGTAACGAATTTTGGGAGGAAGGGGGTCCTTTTGTAAAACGTTACGATGCGGGGATTGAATTACGCGTTATTTTTAATATTATTTTCGACTTTTCAGTACTTTACAGCACATAATGGTAACTTTCAGGTATAAACAGTCACTAGGTGGTCACGAAACGCTTTACTATACTTGGGTACAGAAAAACGTTACGGCGCTTTACATGGAGGAGGGGGTCAATAACTTGAATGCACCCTTTACAAAGAGCATGGCTTTTTTAGTTTTTACCTGAAACTGATGTTTAACAGATATTCCACTGTTCTTCACTAAAACAGGGTAAACCTCATCAAAGTCATAATAGCAGTCAAGTCTTTGCCACTGCTGTGGTTTTGGTAGGAACTTCCATTCAACAGGCTTTATGGACATTTTACTTCCCACATCAACTTCAATGCTCTTGCAAGTTAATACTTTTGTACTTGTAGACATATGTAGAATCAACTTTTCATTGGAATTAGGGATGTTACCATACATATATTGATTACTATTTAGAGCTTTATGTGTATAATTCAACACAGACTTAACTTTGCTGAAGTAATTAGGGTCTTCGAAAATATCTTCATCACTGGTGATGAAAATTCCTGTAATGCAAAATAACATTGTCCATATTTCACTTGTAATTAAGTTTACAATGGTCATTAACATATACAGTGGAATCTCTTCAACTCAAATGTCAAGGGAAATGTAAAAAAAATCGAGTTAATAAAGTTTTTAACTTAACAAAAACTTTGAGATACATATGATTTAACTGCTGAAATTTCGACTCACAGAGGGGCGATTTCTAAATGTATTTTGCAATTTGTAGAATCGATTTGAATAATTTTTCAACTTAAGTTTTGTAGTTTAAATATTTAATATATTAAACCAATTACATAGTCCCAAACCCAAACTATCATATTGGTTATTTAGGGAAATGCAAGTAAGACGTCATTATATTTTACTAACAACGGCTTATGGTGTCTCCTTTTTTTAATTGAGTTATAGAGTATAAATATGTATTATCAATATGTTGTAGGAAAATAACATTTTGTTGAGTTACAAAGTCTAATTCGCGATAACATGTATTTAGGGGTTAAGCCGAAGCAGTAATTTTTTTCAACTTACCAAGTTTTGAGTTATAGAGATTCTACTAAATAAAAACCAACATAGATAGCTAAAATTTCTGAATAAAATTAAGGGCAGGTAGAGAGTTTATTATGAAATACTACATGTTGTTTTTGTGAGATCAAATACTAGTGTTAAAAACACAAGATTTTTATATTGATTGTTATAAAATACAAACATAATGCATAAACCATGTGGTACATTGTTAATCCTGCAATTGTTTATTTGCTTGAATTACTTACATTTTCAGCCCTTTGTTCCCTAATCAGAGTAAAATAAAAATAACAAAACAAAGAATAGTCTTTCAGATACAAACCCAGTACAAAAACTCCGCCAGGTAACATTCGGGTAACATGTTTTGCATGATCAGCAACCCATGTCTCTGAGATATCTAACAAGGTACGCAACGGTTCCGGCTTTTCTGAAGCGTAGCTTGCTTCGGACGATGCATCATTTTTTTCATCAGGCGTACGAGCCAAATGTATTACATTTTCTCGTGACTCCGTTACCTAAGAAAATTGTATTAATAACAATTATTACTATGTTAAAAAGCTCTTTAGCAATTAAAGTTATAAATATACTTACTTGGCCCAGAATTAAGCCAATTACATAAACTTCTTTAGTAGCATACTGTTCTAAATATTGAAGGCAATATTCTGGAGAATACACAGTCCTGACCATTTTTAATATTTAAAACTATATGGAGACAATGTTTTAATTCTTTTGAATACTTTTACGTATTCAAAAGTTACAAATTAAACTAAGATAAATGCAACTTATTTTGTAAATTACGAATACTTGTCACCACAGACTAAAAGGTATAGGGAGCACAGTGTAGTGTACAGTAGATAGCTATTACCACAGATGTCTAATTTTTTTTAATCAAAGAAGTTTGCTCATAGTCAAAGAATGTGAGTAAAATTTGAAGTTAACATAAATTTTGAGAGCTCCAAATTCCAATAAAATATTTTTTCTATAATAGTGTAGTGATTGATATCTATGCCATAATAGCAGACCTCTGTTATTCATGACTAATAATGCGTGTTTTTACCGTTTTCAATAAAAAGTCATTTTTACAAACGAATTAACTTGATCAACTTTTATGCAAGGAATAAAATATTGTTTCAACGTATAATTATTTCAAAGTTTTTATATTAGGTATATTACTTACTTCGCAATTTATGTCTACCATTGCTTTTGAAAAAAGAATGGGCTTCTGAGACTCGTTTCTTTTGTCTAAGGTACGTCTGACGTAATACTTATATTTGTTAACAAATTTAAATAGTGAGGTAACTTTACCGTGCTAGTAAACCTTTAGGATATTCCGCAAAAGAACAATTAAATTTAAATAAAAGCCTCAAATAAAAAAACACTTTATTTATGACAGCTTAACTGGGTTGTAAGCCTTTGCGATCCAACTAGTCGTGATTCTAAGCAATAATTTTACATTACAAACGACTAGTTAGACAAAAATTAATAAGGTCAGTAATCGAAAACTGAAGGTTGGCCTTTTACATTAACTTAATTACATATTGAGAAATTGCCTGACAGACAATTGAAATGTATGTGTCTATGGCTAAGATTAATAGACAAGTTTAAGTACTGAATAAATATCCCACCCATCAAAATCTATAATACGTAATTGTCAGATGGGAAATTTAGTTCGCACTCTTGTCTTTTAGAGTTTGTCCCGAAAGGGCGAATTCGCCGCGATTTTCACGGGCGTATAACGCGCGACCGTTGCGTCCACAAGGTGCGTACCAACGCGCGAGAATTTGGGGAAGAATTAAGAAGGAGTTTTATTCTGTACGAAGGAAGCTCTAGAGTTCCCGCGTTAACTGGACGCAACAAGGCGTCCCTAGTATCCTATTGCGCGCGAGTCGAGAGTCTGGCGAAGTGCACGCGATTTACTATGACGCAATGTATTGGCTCCCAGTACTTCGCCAACACGCGTATGAATTCGCGCGAAACGATTCGCGGCGAATTCGCCCTTTCTGGACAAGCTCTTAGGTTCGTAAACCAAAACGTCAAGACACAATATATTTCCGAGCACTGTCAAAAATGTGAAACATCATAAACTATATATAGACAAAGTTTGCCAGATTGAGAACTTGGGATTAGAATTTGTGCTTAATTAACGTTTTAGAATACAGTTTCTAATGGTTACTTAAGTTCCACTCAAATGTAACGGTTAATATTTTACTTCATGATTAATTAAATTTACACTTCGTGAAATCCATTTCGGGGTGTTGTTCCATGAACCTGTAAAAAAAGTATCGGTTATAAAATTTCTAGTCTGTTAAACCATAGGTATACAACATTAACTTAAAAAATAAACTTTATTTTAAATACTAATAAAATAATAATAATCCAGTGGCGTCAACCCTAAATGATCTTCTGATTCTGATTTGGTTTCTACGATAATTTTTATTTCATAGATAAGGTGATCAGACTTCTGTCGGACACAATATGTCGTTGAATTTTGGATTGCCGGTTTCCTTACGATGTTTTCTTTCACCGAGTGTTAGATGCGCACAGATAAAAAGTGCATTGGTGCATAGCCGATGATAGAAAATACGACCTCAGAGAAAGTCACATGCTGAAGCCACTAGACTAACACTGCTTTTGAATACTATTATAACATTGTTGTCTTTGACTTTTTGGATCCTACAGGCACCTGCAGGCAACTATGAAAAAAAAGATTTATAAAACCAATAAAAGAAATTGTTAGCTCAATTGTGGGGCTGGAGCGAGTCATACATTCCGTATGTATGATAAGAGGGTAAAAACATTATATTTTGGTACAGGAGTCTTCGTGATTATTTTGGTACTTAAACCGGGCTCCTGTACTTCCAATCGTATACCAACTTGTCTTTATTAGTTCATTAAGGGTCTGTTTCACAATGTATGGATAAAGTACCAAATAGCAATGTAACACAAATTATTTGGAAGATAAATTGTGCTATTTGACACTTTATGATGGACTCCTGTGACGAATAGCGCTATCTGACAGTAGTGAAACGCAATAATAGTGTTTATCCTACCAATAAGTAATAAATAGCTAATTTGGAACTTATGTAGAACTTATCCGTACATTTTGAAAAAGACCCTAATAACTATATATATTTAAAAAAAATTGCCTTTATTCGAGTACACTATAACAACAGTAAGTCCATGTCTTTTAAGTTTTATACAAGTACTCGACCTCCTCCTTTTATTTTTATTTTATTATATATATATATATATATATATTTGAAAAGTCAGCTATAAATGACTGATTATTTAAAGTATGTTTTAAGGAAACTAAGGACAGAACTCCCTTAAATCTATACTAAATCGATAATGAGCAACTCTGAGTACGTATACACTAAAACTCAATGTGTGAATACAGTGCATACGGAAAATATATCAAGGAGAAATATAACCAGGAACGCCTTTATCCGCCGAATATTGCGCCATTCTCTACACTTAACAACCTTTTACTTCTGATCTCCGCAATGAGATCACCAAAATATATTAAATTTATTCCATACAACTTTTGTACTACAGATTATATTAATTTTCAGACTTCGTTATTATTAATGTATTATACAAATAAATGTCATTGTTCGATTCGGCTTCGGGCTAATATATATTAATTATAATAATTAAAAGTAGTCAAAATAAAATAAGTTTAACCAGCTGTAAAAGGAATGTCATTACCTGAAATAATATAATTTGTATTAAATTTATTATTCGAAGTTCCGGCACTTTAACAAGTAGGCATGAAATTAGCTTGCAACCAGTTTTTCATGGTTAATCCAAAAAAACACCTTTAATTTTATTAATTCAACTTCTAGAAAACTATCACGGCGCTACCGTTGAATTGTGATAATCAAACGCGTTGTAATTCGTTAAATTTAACTCCGTGCATTGGTAATCCATTACGAGATATAACACACCATACAGTGACATGTTTAGCATTGAAAGGCTTACTAAGTGTTTTGGATTTCTAACAGGCCAAATGCGACAATTACTTACAACGAAATAGCTTAATCAACTTTGATGAATCTGTTAGTCTAGTCGACAAGTTGAAAATGGTACAAAATAGAGATACTGCTCTTAAAATTATGTGCGATAGCTCGATATAACAATTAAAGATAAAAAAAATGGCATTTCGTTTTTTGCCAATATTTAATAAACTATTAATATTTAAGAAATTTAAAAAAAAAAATTTCATCTTTAATTGTGTATAACTTTTGCAATTTTTTATGTGCTAATACAGCTTTTGGCACATTTTTCTAGACGTCATTGCGGATCCAATGAGCTATCGCACATAATTTTAAGAGCAGTATCTCTATTTTGTACCATTTTCAACTTGTCGACTAGACTATGTTAGCGTGGTCGCGAGTCATTTATTTTACATTCACAATTACTTCTTTAAAACAATAAAAATTAGAACATCTTTTGATTAGAAATTCCTGTTGAAACCCTTAAGTCGATTAATTTATTTAAGGAGGTTTATGTTTACCACACATTTATGAAATATATGTAGTGTAAAGTTGGGAACGCTTCCTTGCCGCGCGCATTAAATTATTAAAAATAAAATAAATCAGTGGCGCTACAAACTTTTTAGGTTTGGGCCTCAGATTTATGTATCCGTTTCACGATCATTTGCCCTGTGCCTGATAAACGCTGTCGACCTTTTAGGTCTAAATCAAGCCAGTTTCCTCACGATGTTTTCCAATTTTAATTCACACATAGAAAGAAAGTCCATTGGTGCACAGCCGAGGGTTGAACCTACGACCTCAGGGATGATAGTCGCACGCTGAAGCCAGTAGGCCAACACGGCTTGCAATAAATTATTAGCTACCAATTATGTCTAATTTTCTACACACTCCATAACTAGGTGACCACTACATGCAACTCTTAAATATATGAAATCTACTAAAAAATATATTCAATAAAAGAACCTACTTCTTAAGTACGTCTTGCTTCTTCTGTTCATCGCTGGTTGGCAATCCCATCTCCTTTTGCCTTTGATCGTACATCATCTTCTCAACTAGACCTCTGGTCTCTCCATCTAAGTCCGACAGCTTTGATGGTTCTGTTAATAAAAAAAAATCGTTACTGTTATAAATCGTTGACAAAGTGTTTCTTGTTACCATGGTTACCATATTTTTACCTGACAAACGTTTTTCTAACCATGGTTCTATACTAAATCTTTATTTTTTAATGATGTGGCATTCATTATATTCATGAATCAGTTTCAACTTATTAAACATGTTCATAATGTTTTTCCTTTGGGTTATATAAATCCGTTATCCAAGTAATTTATTTTATATTATGTATTTTTAAAATGTATTGAATTGTTTAAATATTTTTATCAATCATCAATTATTGTTCTTTGAAAATCACGATTACGATCTATTCTTTACTTACGGACCCCAAGCTTACTATGTTTATTTGCAAATTCTAGCTATTTAGCTTATGTTTTAGGCAATTTCTCCACTCTTTAAAACATTCCACATGAATTTCGTATTGGACAATGTACGTGAAATTTGGACATTCTTTGACATAGTTTAAATTTTATAATCCCTTTAATTGACTTTCACTTAAATCGACAAATTTATGATATAGATCCACTTTCCACAAATTTTATATTAAAATTATACACACCGAAAAAGATGATGAAAAAGAGATGATGATGAAAGATGTGTATACTATATTTTGATACAGAGGAAAAAGCAAATTTTCATTAAACAATATATTAGACCTAGCTTTTCCAATTTCTGCAGTAGACAATTACTTGATAAGCCTTCTAAGTACCTGCCTAAACCTATATTTCACCACACCCAGCATTGAAATAAACACTAATTAAGGTAACTGACACTGTACATGAAAATAACTAGCAGTTAAATTCAGAGTCAAGACTTAAACGCTAAGTATATGCTAAGTATATTTTGTGCAAAACAATAGCAGGTCACGTAAAATAAAAAAATATTTATTATGGAATATAAGATACCTACAGGTATGATACTTATTCCACGTCATTAAATGGAGGCTGAGAGAAAAAACCAACGTAAAACACTCTCGGTACTGTTTTAAAATATCAAATAATCATACAAAATGACTATTGCAAATATAGATAGAAGAAACCAGAAGGAGGGAGATACTGTCCGCTCTTTATTTGTATAACATTACAAAACTGAACGAAAACCTCGCAGTCCAGATTCCGGAAGCGGCACCTGTTCACAAGCATGACGTGTGAGCCAGCCATCGTTTTACTCAACCATATTTGAGGGAATTAAACGACCCGTCACACAACGCCACCGCCCCAGTCACACTTGAGTAAGCATGACGTACTAAGCGCGTATCGCGTTTGACTTCTGTCTCCACTGGCAATGCTGTGTGCAACTTGTGCATGAACTTGTTCACTGAGAAGATTTTCTGCCGAAAGTTGCTAATATGGACGGGCAGAAGAATGTTGTGCTTTGTAATATATTCTTGATCATTCAAAAAATTACTTGACGTGTGTTCGCTTTGGTAGCGGAAGGAAAAAAAGAAAACTACCTTCAGAAATTAATTACATAGTTCGCGCTAAGTCTCATCCCTGAATTTTACGCATAGTACCTACTAATAAGTTTAACATTTTATTTCGAAATTAAATATTAAACAAACCTGGATTAATTTTTTTAGTCGATATTTCGGGATCCGTTGACACAAGACGACCCCACCAGTTCATTTTGTTAACCTAGAAAAGAATTACTCAAATAAACTGGCATAATCTTAATTATGTTATAATTTAGAAAGCTGGAAAAAAAGGTTTTAACTGTTTTAAACTGTAATTATCGTTTTCCGACAATACACTAAAATTACTGATTGAAATGTAGATACTTCCCTAATCAAAATCACTAGAGGATTGTTATTTTGTGATGACAGTGGTAATGAAAAATTCATTTAATAAAAATAAAATAAAAGATGACGTTGATTTAAGATTCTATGAAGTTTTAAAAACCAATAATTTTTTTCTGAACTTCTCGTTATCATATCAAACTACTATTAGTTTGTACCTTCTCCAAATTAACCAGCAAAGTCCTGCCATCCTGAAGCACCCACGTGGATTCCTCAATCTTCACATCGGCATCTAGATCGCCATCAATAATAGGCGGCTGGCCCTTAATGCCCACTTTGAGGTGACGTTTGCCAATAACAACGGTCAAATCCCGTGGACGCAGCACTTGACGTAATGGTACGCGTAACTGAAGCAAAAATATTCATTTAAAGAAATCCCACAGTTATACAATTCTAAAAATATGTACAAAAGAAAGTTTAATTAATGGTAATTAATTACGAAAAATCTTCTTCATAATTTTACTCTGAAAAGAGTGGTCGTGGTTTATTTCTGGTCCACATCGTGACTACATGACTCTAAAACCATGAACAGAAAATAACAAGAAATCAAATTTATATATTGTTAAACTTAAGATTGTTATTGACGTAATACCCAAATAGTGTAATCAAGTCCTGGGGTTTTATTAATATTTATTATGAAGTTAGCCTGGTAAATTCTTTAAACTGTTGAGTTCTTTCCAACAAAGTGGTAACCATGTTAACAAATACTGATAATGTGCATTAAAATTAACTATTAATTAACTCTTATCTTGTTCTGGTAGGAAAATGTGCAAGTTATATCAATCTTGCTTTTAAACCTTTAGTCTGAAGCCTTTTTGCGTTACTCTATTAAAAAATTTACTAGTCGTAAGAATGAATGTAACTCGCGTTCATATAAAGTTGATAATGTGTATAGATTTATGATACGGGAAAATGAATACGTGAACATCAGTAGAATAATAATTGTATTTCTTGGTATTTCGAAAGTAAAAGGAAAACTTTTTAGATAACAGCCAACTTGGTTTTCATAACTTAGAACAAAGAGCTTTTATTTTTATTGCCAGGCCGCCTTGAGCATTTGTAATACCTAGTGTAATACCAGCATAAGTTATTGATAAGAAATTGTTTTTTATTATTTCGTTTTTATATTATCAGGCAATTATATTGCATGGACAATGGTGAACATTAATAGAGACGGCATGGCAAACATTTACTAGCAAGTTGGCCACAGCCGTCCCCATAACATTTAAATAAAATAAAGCCCCTTTTTATACAAAAAACATATTTGCAAGACGTGCATGTGGCGGTTTAGAAAAATGTGTTTTATTTTAGTTAAAAGACCCTTGGTTTCCGAGTTATTAAATTATAATATAAACTTTCGATAATTAAACAAAATAAACCCTTCGCGACTGCCTTTTTGGTGGCAAGACTCAAAAATGAAGGACCAAATTATCTATTCATTACGCCACACGTCAAAACGGCAATCGGCTCTCTTATTCAGACATACTTGACATCTTCGGAGCTCCCACAGGGGATTCGCAAACGCAAAACTACGCAAATATGTACTAAACTTTCCACAGTTGACCTCAATGTTGTAAGGATATGAGATACTCTATACTTTTAACAATCTATAACTTATCTCCTTGAAAAGTTAAGATAAATAATTAATTTACTTTATTACTTTCGTTAAAATTAAAAAATATAATAAAATGTATTTGTGTAAAGTCATAATTTACAACAGGATATAAATATCATTTACTTGCACAACATACGTAGACGGATATAATAATTTGCATTAAAGCTGCGTGTTACTTAACATCATATTTTAAAAGGTCGCTACAATTACTTAAAGATAACATAAGAGCATATTCTTCCTATAAACAGATTGCTACACTTTCGAATATATAATTTCCACTATTTGATGAAGGCAATTAATAAAAATAGCAGCCAAGGGTATGTGAATACAAGGAACAAAGGACAAATTGAACAGCCAATTGGGGCAGGGGTATAAAAAAAATCAGTGGCGCTACAACCTCTTTAGGTCTGGGCCTCAGATTTCCTAATCTGTTTCATGATCATTTTTAAATCTAATAGGCAATGATCAGCCTCCAGTGCCTGACACACGCCGTCGACTTTTTGTGTCTAAGACATGTCGGTTTCCTCACGATGTTTTCCTTCATCGCTCGAGCGAATGTTAAATGCGCACATAGAAAAAAAGTCGGTGGTGGAAAGTTGGTGCACAGCCGGGGATCGAACCTATGACATCAGGGATGAGAGTCGCACACTGAAGCCACTAGGCCAACACTGCTCCATGGGGCAGGGGGCAGGGGTATACCTATATAATATTTGTTTTTTTAATACCAATAAATTATTCAATGACCTATGGCTTACTCACGAATTGTTTTAAATAAATCTGCTTTGTTTTTGTTATACCTAATTCCAAATTAATTCATAGATTACTGAGGTCAATGACACAATTTTTTTATAAAACCTGAATCCTGGTATTTAATATATTACGTAGTCAATCAAAATTCTTGTATTTTTCATGACGTAAATACTATTAATTTTTGTAATTACACTCTTGACATTTATTACAAATGTGTACATAAAGGTTGTTGTCATACGTTTAAAAAATATCCTTTTACAATGGGATTTGCCTTCTGTGCTAAGCTTGACTTTCAGTACTTGAACTATGTAACGTATTTGGAAGCCAGTCATAAGTTTTATATCATCTTTAATGTGAATTTTCTGTTTTCTGTACATAAAAATTGCAAAAATATGCAGTAATTTAAATTGAAGCTATTATTCTTAATTTAAATTTTATTCGATTCGAGTATAAAAACACCAAGCATTGATCAGTCCACATTCCATGGCGTTGCCATGGTAACCACAACGCTAATAGCATTAACAAAAACCGGTCATTCATCGACTTTTATTTATGATATCAACATCAGATGTAAAAAAAGGTAATTGTAATCGTAGTTTTATTGCATACATAGTAATCAAGCTACATGACAAAAAAGATGGAGTTTACATTGTTCCATATTTAAAAGGATATTCTTTTCAAGTTATGCATAGCCCATCAGATATACTTGATTTTTTTAGGATGGCCGGTAATCATATATTGAGCCTACATTTTTATGAATTTAAAAATGGAACTGTTTCTTTATTCTATTTTTAAAATCGGACTACGCTGTTAAGTTTCTTGAACTTCCCAAAAGGGCGCGGTTTAGAAGGTCTATAAGGCTTCAATGACGTATATAAGGGATAATGTAAATCTAAATGTGGCTATTTTTCTTTTAACTTCACGATATTAATTATAAATTTTTTAATAGTATAAAATAAGTGTCGTATTTATTAATTCTCAAACTCATTTAAACAGTATTACTTCATATTTACAATATTTGCGTGTGTTATTGTTAATGTAACATTATCATAACGCCTCTTGATTTTCATTATGGTCCTTATATAAGTCATACAAAGATGTCAATAATGTTTATTGAAAAAACAAGGTTTCAATAGGAATTCTTTTATGGAGGTCATTTCCGCGATTTAGCAATTTCATCATCGTATTGCACATTGACGAATTAAAATTATATAAATATATGCAACGTTTCTGCTTAATTTACATTCTTATTAGGTTCAAAGCCTTGTACGACAAATTAACATCTTGTTAAGTCTTCGCGCTATGGCTCCAAACAAAGCGATTCGTAGAATAGAACGTTTAGGCCTACTTTTAATTTTAATTATACTTGTTGCTGATAGAAAAGGGTATTGGCAAATGCACAGGCGTTTGAACTCCCGACCTCAGTTAGACTGTCTGTTCAATTATTGAATGATGAAGACAAAACATGAAATATAAAGAATTCAAGCAATCAATTCAAATTATATTTGATTCCAGATCGCCTGTCACGTGACTACTTTTCGGTCAATTCCTGCGCAGCATGCCAACGTCAGTTGTTGCCTCAAGGCCCAGGTCATAGGAAGATGTCATTGTCATGTGTAGAATACTAAGTGCTTGTCTGTATTTGAAGACTTTCCTCGAATTATCTAGATTGTTCTAGAGCACTACGGTAAACCGATTATTTTAGTAAATTATCGTTTAATACTTAGTATGGAATGGTATTTTCAACTAGAAAATCCCTCACCCGGTTCCAATATCCTAAATACCACTAGTAAATGTTCTCTCGTTAACTTGCTTCTCGATGGACCCAGGAGATCCAGATCCAGCTCGTTATCAGAATTCTCAATCTGTATATCGGGGACTTTTGGCCAAAACGCGTTCTCCGGAAAGAAGGGACAAATGGAATGATGGGATGCCTGGGGTATCTAGAGGGTACACTTAATTAAAATTTTGTTAAAAGGTTGGGGCAATCAACCTGATTGTTAAGTCTATTAATTGCAAAATTAATACACCAATTATTTTTTTTACGATTCTCCAATGACCACACCTTAAAGTACGCTAGTGCTCTTAGAAATTATAAAATATCGATCGTTTCGGAGACAGTATGAAGCTCTCACCTTTATTAAGGGTATCTGGTGCCATTCTGCCTCTAGGGACCGCAAATAATCTTTGTTTCCGCGATCTCAAATAGCCATTTGGTACAAATAAACGTAGTTCTTGTTATAGTTAAACCGGTGTAACCATATCATATTACCATTATTATATGATTTTTAACCTTAACATTATTATATTAACATGTAATTTTAAATAATTAGATAAAGAAACCGATTGTCTATCGCACAAAAACAATAATTGTTCTACAAGGAGAGCGCCACTAAACGCAGCCGATGCGTGCCGACCTCGCATTCCTCGCAAGGACGATACATGATCACAGCATCTGTTTGACCGGATAAGCTTGCTTACTCATCAATAGATTTCGACGACAAGCTTTTACAATTGTCTAAATTTACCATAATAGATATCTGTTACACTACTGCGATATAATTTTCACTTGCTTTAGCTTAGTGCTGGAGTTGGAGCGAGGTGAAAATAAGAGGCTCAAAACCGAACACGATGCAGACACACTGTGGCCCTCTGCCCCATCCAGGGAACATAGGATATTAAGTTATTATATAAATATATTAAGTGCTGATAATTATGACCGAAATATATTGATAAAGTGGTTGCGTAATGGCTTTCCGATGACCTTCCATCGTCTCAACTCAGTGGGATTAAATATTATTTTACTAAATTATAATTTAAGATATTTCCCTAAAAGGTATTTTCAGTAGTAATACTGAATTTCAAATTGTGTCTATGGGTAAGAAGAGCCTTAGTGCATTTATTTCAAAAACCATTAGGGTAAGTGCGTTTTACATATTGTTATATGCAATAGGTGTTATAAAGTAGTTAATAACTTGTCACAATTAAATTAAATAAATTTTAAAAGAATCTGTTAAAATAGCTTCCTAAAATATTTATTCATATATAAATAAACAGAGACACGAGATTTCGGCTCCAAGTAGCACTTACTAATTGAACTTTAATCTTCTCATTTAAATTAGTTTTATTGACGAGGACGTTATTTAAATACGCACTAGAAATCACAAATAGCTGTATGTGTTTCCTTATTGCACAATGCCGCCTTAAAAATAAATAAATACAAATTAACTATTTGGGGCCTATAGTACCTACGTCTTTCACAATAAGTAGAAGTTCGTAACTTTAGAATTTCGCTAATGGCACCAATATTAGAAAATTTGAACCCATACATATTTCTGGCACAACGTCAAGTAGCTTTTAATCCGCCAAATATTAGGTTAATGAAAGCTTGACAGTAATAAAAAGTAGGTTATTAAAGACACGATGAAGTAAGCCCAAAGACTCCGAGACGCATGATTGGTAGAACAATCATCAAGTAATTAGATTTGAGCGTGTGACTGAGTTAAGCAATTTCGAGGTAATACTTTTCAAGAACCTTGTGAACTGGTATGGTGCTATTATACCGTCACACTTTGCGTTATCTTAATCCATAGAATTTCTAAATCCCGTAGCTTTTTGATCAAATATGTTACAAGACAACCTTTAAACACACATACAAGTGTGTCGTATCTTCATAATGCGAAACTCACGATAGAATAATTGCTCAGAGACGAAGCTCAATTGCAAATCTATACAGTATACAATCAATCGACTTATAAGAAATAGAATTTGTTTATCATTATTTCTGGGCATAATCGCTTGCACTCATTTTATTACACGACCGATTAATACATTCTAAATACGATTCCAAACACTTAATTTTATTATATATTTTTTTTAAATATCAAAATCTTCTGTCTAACTTATCAATTACATTGTCAGGCATTTTTCGTTTACCACCGCCCACAAACGAACACAAGGTTAGTATATGCACTGTCTTCTTTTTCTAGCAAATTAACGATGTTATCACGAGAACGTGACTACGATTCCAATTTAACTAAATGTAAAAATTCATTTGCAGTAAACAAAGACAATTAAAATTGATATGATATTGGTTTTTCTTAAATAATTATAAATACATGAACATTTTCACATAAACAATATGTTTACATGAACGTTAAACAATCGGACAAAAATAGTAAAATTATGAATCTAATTTTAGACTTAATTTGCATATTATGTATGAAGATTATAGATATAGTCAGCATAACCTCGTTTTAAGATATTCCAAAACATAATTAAGATGTAGATTGTAGGTTCAAGATTTGTCCAACTTGGTCACTTTATCATCATTATAATCATGGCGCTACATCTCATCGGTCCTTGGAGTAAGAACCTCCAGTCGGTCCAAGCTTCAGTTTGTCAATTACAACATACCAATAGGTATATTAATAGATGTATTAGGGCTGTCCCTTGAATATTTCAGGCAAGTGATTTACCAATTAATTTTTCATAAACTTCTTATGTAAGGTATATTTTGCAACTTCTTAAATTAGTAACAAAACCTCACATTGGATTTTAACCGGATTATCAATCGTCTATAATCGTAATCGATAAATACCATTGACAATATAGGGAAAGTAACGACCAAACAAACGCCAACTGTTTGAGGTACAGCATGGACTACTGTACAACAAGGAAAGACCAGTCCAATAAATAAAACCATTGAACTTGAATACACGCGCCTTTTTATTAGCGTAACGTCATCTGAATCGTAATTTCTTTCCGAGTCCCACCATGATTCAAGAGGATCGGCCTTGCGCGGTTGCACAACCACTGGGCTGGTCATTTAGACGTCATTTTAGTATACGTGACCTGACTTCTGTTTTGCACACATTAGCCTCTTGACAATCACTATACAAGTAAGTTAAGAACAGACATTCATAGTCGGTCTTCCATAGATAACTCCAATCAGCGGCGAACAAAACCTAATCAAATAGTTTAAAATGTTGCTCATTTTAAAGGCTTCAATTGAGTCTGCAACTGTATAAAAAATACAGACTTCTTAAAATTTTTGCTATTTTCTGTCTTACTTCTCGAAAAGAAAAGATAGATAGATAGATCTCACTATTGAGCGATCATGCAGTCAGTTCGTCGTCGCAATTCTTACGAGAGAACTTAGTAAATATTACATCAATAAGACAAACTTTACGACATTAGTTTGTTTTTTCTAGTGAAATATTTCAACAAATTCACTGGTCATCGAATAGTGAAGTGATCCTAATGTAGCGCCTAAAAACTTGACTGTTTACGCCGATCTCAATCAATAGAGACCAATTCTATTAATTTTGCAAAAATCTTAAAAATGACTTCTTAAACCGGTAATATGCAAGTCGATATATAAACCTTGGTCGGTATTGCAACACACTCAGTTCAGCTCTAGTCGCTTTGCCGCTTGGAACGAGCGTTTGACGCCGGCCACGGAGAGGGCGAGAGAGTTACTCGGCGATTTGATATGTGGTTTTTAGTGTTGTGACGTAGTGACAAGCTTATCAGTACTCGCATGTAAATAAACAATGGATGTGAACAGAGCGGTAAGTTATAGTCTATTTAAAATCGATTTAAATAAATAGTCCAAAATCAGGTGAATCTAAAAAATAATGCTACTGAGAATCTTTACCTGATGTATTTTATGAACTATATAATAATGGTGGTGGTAATTATTCGGGTAAAACATTAGTAAATGATCATTGTTGTAAAATTTGGATCTTTTATTAATTTTAACTATTTTTATTAAATTTTGTATTTAAAGTACAAATGTGTTAAATTCATCATTTAGCATAAATGTCACTCAGTAACCTAACTAAGATACGGATATATAATTAACATAAAACTTTAACGGATAATTTATTCACTTTATATATTTTTTACTATTAATTCTAACCATTTATAAGTAAAAATGTCGCTCCGTTCCTTCCTGCTTAATTAAAAAAACAGTAACTAAATTTTAGTACTAAAACTTGACTATAAGATATGCAAGTTAAAATAACTACTAATTCGTAAATTGAAAAGTTAAAAACATTTAATTTGATAATATATTATGAAATATGATGAACCGCACCAAAAAACTCACTGGTTCTTATAAACATGATTTGCAAATTACCTTAATTGGCAAGCTCAAAATTCCTCAATTTAATTTGCTTAAGTGCAAATATAATAGCTTTCTGTTGTTCGTTTACTTTTTGCTCAAATAAAAAACCTTATAGTTTTCTATAGACCGACGTGATTATGGATGAAGACGATACGGGCCAGACTTTTTGTACAGATAAAAAATATTTTAGGGAAAGAAAAGACGGCCAACCCCCAGATTTTTCTTTCTATACACGCAAATAAAAGCGAGACAACAACATAGTTTAGATCAAAAAAAGTCACAAAATCACCTGCTTGTATACACGACAAGGTTAATGCCGCATGAAGGGTATCGCTACTGTATTATAATTTAAAATTAGAACATAAAATTGAATAACTTAATATCACATGACTAACATCACCGTGCACCCAGCAACACATACCATATATGTATTTATTTGAATACCGGAATGAGCAACAATCTAAGAATTTTGGCGTCACTATCAAATTTTATTATATCCGTCTCTTGTTTACCAGAATTTATTTAAATTTATTTTATTTATATTAGTCGTCTACATACCAATGCCGTTATTAATAGAACTAATGAGAATTTAATGATAAAGTTTTTCTTAGTTTTTAATTTGCTTAAAAATCATATTTCTGGGTAAAAATTTCGGGATCGAAAAATATTTGCATAACCTACACTTGCACTATTCATTGAAATAAAAATGAAATGCAGGCGACCTCGTTTACGTAGAATACTTAAAACAATCCAAAATTCTACAATAACCCGTATATTTCTATATAGTCATTAAAATAAGCTCATACTTTTGACATTGAAGACTGAAGTAATGTTATAAGTGATAGTTCGAACAAAACCCTTGTTAAAGCCGAAATAATTGGTGCAGGGACTGGAGGCACGACGCGCGGCCTTCACATTTCACTACACCCGGACTTAGCACATCCAGGGCATTGCCCTTATATCCTTTAAATGAAACCTCAAAGTCCCGATTAGCCAATGGAATTTTAATTATTCAAGTCCAAATACAGAAAGCTAATAAGTTGGAGCTTCTTAGATAAAGCTCATTTACATTACTAGTGACAAAGTCGAGTTTTATGAACTTTAGAATCTCCTTGATATTTCGTCTCTAAGATAAAAATGTATTATCCTTCCTATTATAAATATTATGAAACCTGTATGTCTAAATAATAAGAATAAGATTCTGAATAACTGAATAGAAAATTGAAAAATACAATATATGTAGGTACTTAACAATTAAAGTATAGTAAATAAATCTACTACATAGTAAGGAACTTAAAAATTAAATTTTCCTATTACACTTTAAAATGTTTAATAAAAAAAATTATTGACAATTTATTGTAAGTAACTAGACAATTTGCTAATCTTTTCAGAAAACACAACTTGGCATTTCCCAAACGATGTCAATGACTATATTATGAAATCTTTCAAAGTCCAGTGAATCATTTGCAATAAATAATCTTTAGTCATATTTTGTATAAATTATATGTTACATAGTATACTCTTCAGTTACTTAAGAGAATTACTAATTTACTTAATGCCTTAGAAACCTCCCTTTATGACATTATTTAGGTTGTTTTGCATTCGTCATTCATACTTTAAACTAAGCATTAGGTCCGGTCCAGCCTTCCAGTCAAAGGAATAGACCGTCTTAAAAAAACATTGTAAATATAATTTCGACAATTTATAAATTACACAGATTTCTATCGAAAAAAAAGAAGATATGCTAACCTTAGTGCGAATTTACATTGTGACCGTGAACTAACGCGGTTTATGTAAGACCATGTCAATAACACTGATTTATCGCTTATTTTATACAAAGATTTGTCCTTGTCAATATAATAACATCGTTAAAAAATTAGGAACTGCAGTGTTGCAGCCAGGTGGGCAGAGAATGAATCATGCTAGAGATTAGCTATTGCTCAATGAGTTTGTTGAATGTTCCGTGTCTATAATTTATGGTTAATCTTGCTTTTAAAACCAGAACAAATAGTACAAGTATTATAAATGCCAGCTACAATACTATAGCTGCTAAAACGATTTCGATATCCAAAATAACATCGTAGATGAACTTTTATTCATTTAATAAAACACTATTTTGACTTGGTCACGGTGACCACGCACGCTGTAAAGCACGCGAAACGTCGGATAAATTTAAAATTATGTTAAATAGTTGTAAATTTATAATAATACATAACTTCAATCCGGTCAAAATAGTGTTTTATTAATCGTAGATGAAGTTGCAAACTTCTAAGGCGGATTCGAAAATTTATTAAAATTATTTGGAATTTTTTATTTCAGTTTTTTATGTTTTAAAAAACTTATTTACTGTTTTTCGTTCACAACTAAATGTAATACATGTATTTTTGCACTTCTTGCCTATCTTATGTAATTTAATACTTTTTGTTTTCTCACAGTGGTTGCCTGGAAGAGATCGCTTGAAAGCGATAAGGCCGCCAGTTGCTCTCCTTTTTATTTAACTATGTCAATTGTACTATATTAATGTATATGCAACGAAGTGTTAATAAAATAAATAAATAATAAATTCCCTAGTTAAATTTATGTATGTTACATTGGGGGCATATGATATTTAGAAAGGCTAAGGTTTGGAACACTGTTCTTCTACACACATTGCAACTCCATTTTCAAAAAAAAAACAATTGACAGTCTCCAACGAATAATCTAAAATGTACACTTACGTTTCGCATTCATTACTTTGAGACGGATGTCCCGAAACAAATCCGTGATGTGATGTAATTAGGTTTAACCCTAACAAAAAAGCTTCACGATGTCCTCGTTAGAAAACTTTAAGAGCTAAAACCTCTTAAATAAAAACGTCTCAATTAAACTTTGAAATGATCGGAACCACAGAGTTTTTGACATTACGAAATTTTGCACGTCAATGACAGATGTGACGACACAACTCAAAGGTCATTGAGTTTTGGGACAAATATTTCTAGTGATTCACAACATCATTAACATTTATTTATATAACATTATCAAATATCAATAATATTATTAACATTTTTGGTATGTTTTATAATTATTATGCGTTTCATTTAGAAATCTAGGAAGCGTATATATTCACAGCTTTGGACGGCTGGGTATTTAAAAGATGGAATAGATTTAGCGTTGCCTGAGGGTAATTTAGCATTACCGGTGAAAAAATTTTTAAAGTAGTTTTTGGGTTGATTTGTTAGAAACATATACAAATGTGAAAATACAAATCTATCCTATTTATAATATCAGTATAGAAAAATGTGAGAGGATTCTGTTTGATACTTATACTTCTAAATCTATCTTAGACTTAGAAGTATAAGTAGTATTTTAGACTCTATTTTCTTCATTCTAAATTCAAATTTATATTAACATAACAAACAATTGAACTATTTGTTTCTTTTTTTTACTTTATCGGCGTTTACTTGACGTCTCCTTGACAACGGTGGTTTTGAAAGAAATTAAATATTAAAATGACTTATGTGGCACAGTAGGGTAGTCGGAATTTGGAACGTAGGTTTATATCGTCAAAAACAGGTTTAAAAGAAGGGCACAGCATGAATTTCGCAAAATTATTTTTCACATTCTTTGTATGGAGCTAGAACGGTTATTCATAAGTATTTAAATGGTTTTAAGAGAATAAATTGAAGAATTATAAAATCAGTCACGTTTTAAAATCCGGC